CTGTGCGCTATTTCCTGATGTGGTAATTAGGGCAAAGGGCATGTTCCGACTTGAGTTTTCCGGCCGACTATCACGGGACTCAGAGGTACTGGTGACTAAGCTACAATTCTTCCAGATTTTTGTCAACCAAGGGGAACAATTAAGGCGTTGACATCTGACATTTTCTCATTGCTTCTTAAAAATTGAGAGTCATAACAGCAGCATGCCGCCGCGGCTCTTGAGTAAACCCTATTTTAGGGTCTTAAATGGTATGTTATCACACTGCTTATTTGCGTATGCTTGCGCTGCTTGGCCTCGTTTTAACATACATATTAAGCGTCCACATTACAAAACCAATTCACAGCACCATCTTTGGGACCTTCCCTAGCCTCGTCGAGCAGATCGCAATTCAGTAGCAACAGCCGCACGAAAACGAGGAAAGGCCAGAATCCATACGCAATTGCGCAGGCTCGACAACGGAAAGCGGCGAATTTGTCCCGACAGGCTGTGTTGAAAAAAGAACGAGCTTCTTCTGCCTATGGGGACCCCGTGCTCGGCAATCCCACCCCCTTCATCGAATCGCTAATGCCAAAGCGATCCGGAGACTCTGCTACCCTCACGTCTACGTCTGCGTCGCAACAAGGAAGTAAGAAGGCGACAGATTTCCAATCTGCCTCCTCTCCTCAGGCTCCAGACCTCAACCACTACCTGACCTCTACGGAATTCCAAGCGGCCCTTGAACGGTCGAAACACCTTACAGAGCCTGTGGTGAACAAGCAGAGCCATTTAAGCGATCCGCAAGCCAACGAGGAAGCTCGGCTCGCACATGAAGAAGCGCACCGTAACGCACAACAAGCAATGAGCCGAATTATCCAGCTGGAGAATGGCAGCAACAAGGATCGAACCCGGGTGAATATCCAGCGATGCATACATACTTTTGGTAGACATGTTACGGACTCACTGCTCGAGTCCAAGCCTCCGGCGGCCATCGATCCCTCAGCGCCCCAGTACCCGGCAAGACCAGCACGAGTGGGACCGGACACAGGTTCCTCCGAGGTGCAGGCTGCTATTCTGACGACCAAGATCCAGGTGCTTGCTCAGCAGATAGCCAAGTACGGACACAAGGACAAACATAACAAGCGGAATCTCCGGGTGCTTGTTCACAGGAGACAGCGGCTGTTGAATTATTTGAGGAGGAAGGAGCGCGGCGGTCCGCGGTGGCAGAACTTGATGAGTAACCTTGGGTTGACTGATTCGTCTTGGAAAGGGGAAATCAGTTTGTAGGGGCTCCTACTGATGGATACAAGGCATCGTCTTTGTTCTTTTGCGGTTTGCGATTTTCTAGACAGCAATGTGTTCTTTGTTTGCTTTTCGCTGTCATCGTTATGCTTTCATTTACTACTGGTCAAGTCATTCCATCGCTTTGACGTCTCTCAAGGAATCTACGTGTATTGTACAATGGGCGACCGTCATTTCTTTTCCACTTTGTCCAATGTATTAGTAGTACTACATAGTAACTAGTTTATAACTACGCCTGGGATGATGTTGAGGATTTAACCCGCCATTTTTATAAGGGCAGAACAACACAGGTAACTAAAGGCAATACCCGAAATTCCAAATAATGCACAAGGGCAGACTAATCCTATTCTATTATTATGAACTCGGAACTTCCCCCCGTTGCCCTGCTGCCCGGGAATAGTACTAGTATTCACCCCTGGCCGTGAAGTCGATCCGGCCTCACCGCCTTCTTATTCTAGTATTCTGCCGCCTAGTTTGCCTTCACTTTCCTTGCCAAACTAAGTAATTATTTCTTGATCACAGCAACGAGCGGCCTTTACGCAACAGCACAACACAACACACCACACCACAACAACACAACACGATACTCTCCATCGCAACAATAGTAAATATCTCCTTCTCCCACTTCTCTCTCTCCCCATCCTCTTCGTCTCCTCATACCCCCACCAACTTCGACAATCACATAGTGAACCACACTATCAAAGCATCCTGCAAGTTCAAGCTCAATAGTTTTCGACTGAAAGTTCTCACGCAGCCCATTTCATCCCCTCATTCCTTCTTTTACATATGTTCCTCACTTAGCCTTCGTCCAACCCTCACTGTCATCCTCTTTAAACGATTTTCATTGTACTGCTAGTACTCTGCCAATCCCAAGTCTGCCACACAACTTCATTTGGTGTCTGTCCAACAGTACCTGACGGCGTCTCCTGACGGCGTCTCCTGACTCTCGCTAAGCTGGTTCTATCGTGGTTTGTTTATATCATGCCCTGTAGCACTCCTCCTTGCCAGCGCACTGGACATTACTGACAGTGCCTAGATTAGAGCCTAACGCCTCATAAAACAGCTGTTTGACGCTCTAAATCAAGGCTGGGTACTCTGCCCTCTGCAACACCATGCGCACTCGATCGCAGCCAATTTCCCCAAACGGGTTTCAGTCGCTAGAAATCGCGCCTCGCAGACGGAAGGCGCAGACAACCGCGACTGCCTCCACGGCCACCAAGGTCACCAAGCCCGCGGCGGAGGCAAGCGCCAAGGTTGAGAAAAAGAAACCTGGAAAGCGCGGCCCCAAGAAAACGTCGAAGAAAACCGCGAGCAAGTCCAACGAATCCCTGAACAGTGCTGATAACAGTAGCGATGCCCCAGCCCCTGTGTCCACCGATGCTGCATCTGTCAATGCGCCCAATAACGGTGTTATGACATCACGACCCACCAAAGGACCCGTTGAGCAATCTATCACAGATAAATGTGAGCAGTCTCCTTTTTCTTCAACTTCCCCTTTAATAACCGCAACTCCCGTGGACGTTGGTT